AATTTTTTAAAGTACAAATTGTATGGAATATACCACAATTACTAATGAATTTCAGAGGAAGGAGAGTTCAATTGGGATTGGTTAGTCAAAGAAAGTTTTAAAGAGAGAGCAGGACCTAAGATGAATTTTGAAGGTTTGATAGGGTTTGGATAGGTGGAAGATAAAGGAAGCAATATGATAGGGAACAACATAAGTAAAGGCATAGTGGCAAATATAAATGTAGTATTGTAATCAAACAATAAGACCAGTCTAACATGAGCAGGGATTGTGTGTGTTGGTGTTGAAGAATTTGTTCAGCACCCTGCATTTTACTGCTAAGGCATCCTTTATTCCTACAGCTGCAAGGGAATGATCAGACCATAGACATGCTCGTGGGTAAGATAGTAAAATTCTTCTCAGAGCTGGGCAAAAATCTGAGCATCTTATCATCTTTCTTAGTGGACTGAGAAGACAAAAAATAAATAAGGGAAATATGGAATTGAGAGACAAATGGGAGCTGCACAAAATTGGATCTCTTTGAAGTATTCTAGGAAAAAGTAACATTAAGAGGATATGGTTAAGACAGGTGGAGCAGATGTATCCCTTTGCTAAGCCTGGAGACAGCAAAGTTTTCTATGAGAAAGACAATTTGCCATAGCTTCTCAGGTTAGTAATATCTAGTCTACTTTAATCCTTTACAGTAATATTAAGGTTTAGACATAGAACAAAATAACAGCTCTATAATCTTATTTCTACTTTGGTAAGTTGTGGGAAATAATGTTGGACAGGGAAAGGAGTCAAATTAAAGGGGGTCTTGAAAGTCAGATGGCACAAAGAATAGACTTGATCATTTTCTTCATGTAGTAGTGCTTACTAGTCAGTATGAACCTATGCTACCATGTATTTTGTCCAGTTAGCTTAAGCAGTAACAAAGGTGATCAACGAGCCCCAGATGAGACAGTAAGTGAAGTCAAGATTGAAGTTATAATGTCCCTTTTGAAGCCTGGAAATGGGGCACAGCTGCCAAAATAATCTTCCTAAGGTCTTACAATGTTACCCCCTAATCAACAATCTTCAATGGCTCACCATCACTTTCAATGAAAATGAAATACAAACTCCTTGGCTTGGTACTTAAAGCCTTCAGGAATCTGACTTTAACCTAATTTTCCAGAATTATTTTATCTTATTCCCTTCACTGGTTTACATTCCAGTAAAACTGGCACATTTGCTTTCTTCAAACTAGCCATTCCATCTCCTCTCTCTGTGGCTTTGTTAAAATCTGTCTCTTCGAGTATGGTACTCTTCATATCTGTCTTTCTGAACCGTTAACTCTTCAGGCTCAGCCCAGTTGTCTTTGGGAAAGTTTTCCTCCATCTCTTCAGCTGTCAGTGTTTTCATCTTCCTGGTATCACTTTGTGTTTATTTATCTGTATATGCATGTTACATCCCTCCCAGTAAAATATTAAGTTCCTTAAGAGCAGAGAAAGAGAAGAGGCTATATATTATTCTAAAAAGAGCCCAGTAATTGGAGGCGGTGGATCTATGTTCAAGCCTGAATCTACCACTTCTTGCTTCTGGGAACTTGGATAAGTTCTTTCAACTCTTTCCCTCAGTTTCCCCATCAGCAAAATTGGAGTTGAGGGGTTTGGAAGTTTGGGACTAATCCAATCCAGTCCAATCCAATAAACAGTTAATAAATGCTTCCTATGTGCTAGACACTGTGCTAAGTGCTGGTGATGCCATTAAAAAGCAAGAAATACAGTTCCTGTGTACAAAGACTTTGCAATCAGAAGAAGAAGGCAACACAGAAAAGGAGACAGGAAAGAGGGGAACCAAGGGGTGCTTGGCATGGGGAGATTTTGTTCCATGGTGCTGAAACCAGGCAGAGAAGCAAAGGCAAAGTGAAATGAGCTGAGAAAGCCCAGTTTCTGCTCTCTATAAAGGAAGACATTGGGAGAAGATTGGTACTTCACCCTTCAGCCCTCCAATCAGGGGGGGAAAGGAGTCTGAAAGAGATGGTGTCAATCAAGGCTAGAGTTAGCAGTATCATGATGAGATTAGAAGTGATAAGCTTAACCTCTGAAGGGCGTTTTGTTCTGTGGAGTTGAAACCTTCATAGCAGCAGGAACAAAGTGGACTAAGAAAGGACTTCTAAGGTCTCTTCCAGTTCTGAATCTATGATCTCATGATTATTTCATTTTTATACTCATATCTCTAGCACCTAGCATAGGGCCTTGCACATAGCAAGCACTTAAAAATGATTGACAAATTAAAATGTCAACCCCATTCCCCCATCCCTGCCCCCAACAGTAAAAGATGTTATTGTGTAAGCTAAAGAGAAGGAAAAGACTGTAATAGAGAGGCTTTTATACAGGGAGAGGGAGCAGGAGTGTCAGATCATTGTAATACAAAGCCAGGGGTTAGTTACCAGAGAATCAGAGACTAAGCCAACTGGCTAAATGCAGGAAATGGGGTTTAAATCAGAGGTATGAATCAGTCCTAGATAATCAACAGAATTCATGGAGTAATCAAAACAACATGAACTAGGGTCAAGGCAGAAGTTTTCTATTTCAGAAGAATAAGAATGGCCTGAGTTTTCAAAAGAGTCTGTTATAATTTATCACATTTGACACTTTTGCAGTTTTGAAAGTATTTTTATGTTTTGGAGCATCAGGTCAACTCTACCATCCAGTTTCTCCTTAATGAACACAATAGACTGGACAGGGCAGCTAGCAATTCCCATGGGGTAAGTAGGATTCTCTAAATAGCAGTGGACAGAAACCAAAGAACAGCTAAGAGTAGAATGGAGGCAATAAGGAAAGGGGGGGGTGGTGAGAGATGAGGAATTAAAGAAAAAGGAGATGGGAGAGTTGGAAGAATGAGAATTAGAAGGTTTCTGAGTTTGAATGCCCAGGTCAGAGTTTGAAATGGTGAGAAGAGGTAAAGACAAAATGGAGTAACAGGGAAGCCAATTGGGGATGAATAGAAAAGATACATGACAAGAATATAAGTGGAAAAAAAAACAGAGAAACTAGTAAGTAAATATGCTGAGTTATAAATGCAGAGGAAACAACAAAAGATGAAAAAAATGGTCAATGAAAGGATGATAATCCTTCTTGGCAAAGATAGAAGGAAGTAAGAGTCACTGGAAATGACAAGCATTTAGAACAGATGAGCAGTAAAGATGGAAAGAGATCTTAACAGTCATATGGATCAGTTATATACAATAGGCAAATGAAGCAGGATGCAGAATAGAGGAGAAAGAATAGCATGGGATCTTAGGGAAAGGGGACTTTTTCCCATTATGGATGCTTTATCAGTTGCTGTTTGGTAATATCAACAAGGTTCATGGTAATCAACTGCAGAGACTTTTCAAGAATATTGTTACAGGGATTTTTGATCAAAAATGGGTTGGAGTAAGTGACTTCTGAGGTCCTTTCTTACTCTGAGATGCTGTAAGTCTGAAATTGAAATGCTGTTTCTGTATTAGCTAAGTGCATTTCTCCTTGAATTCCAAAGATTTAAAAAAAAAATAGGAAGATACAATAGTGTTTTGATTAGATATATTGTGCCAGTGTACATTTCCTCCTCCAGAATTCGAATATGTGTTTGTATGTGTTTTGCGTGTATTTGTGTATATGTGTGTGTGTTGTGTGTGTGTGTGTGTATTAGGAAATACTACATAATGTGGTGGATGGAGGGCCAACCTTAAAACCAGGAAGATCAGAGTTCAAGCCCCACTTCTGATATATGCTGTCCATGTGGCCCTGGAGAAGTCATTTAACTTTGCAGTACCACCCCCCACCCCACCTCACCCCATTTCCCACTCCCACTCTGACAAATATTTCAGACTATAAGTTACTGATCTTCATTATTAGAGGGAATTTTAACACTAGGAATTCCCTACACCAGTTGGTATATAACTGGAAAAACCAAGTTCATACAACAAACAAAAAAAGTGTAAAAGTTATACAAAAAACCATAGTGCTGGGCATATGGCAGACTGAAAATGGAGCCTATATTTGCAACTGACTCTCAGTTCTACTTCTTCCATGCTATACCCATATGCTAACCCCAGATGTTTTGTCTGTTTCATTTTATGGGTCCTTATGGCTGTCTAATCTTCTCTTCTATTATATTTGTCTACACAACAACAATCCTTTCATTCAAAAAGTTTGGTGGTCCTCTGGAAGGTGATCTATGATAGATTTTTAAAAGCTTCATATTCCAAATGCATTTGGGGCTCATTTTCACTTCCAGTTTCCTAAAAGAGCATCCTCAGTTCAAACATCATTAATTTGAAACCCATTTTATTGACAGGACACCCCCTCAAAACACACACACACACACACACACACACACACACACACACACACACACCAGGAGCATGCATGTATGCTTGCACATTCCACCTTTTACATGCCATTCTTCTCACCTAAAATGTCTTTTTCTTCTCCTCTCCACTATTTCATTGTTTATTAACTCTGTCAAATTCTAATTAAGGAGACAAAACCTAAACTGACTAAAAAATTAACAACATATACACACATATGCATGTATTTGTATATACATACATATATACATACACACACACATACATACACACATATATACTTGGCTAAACCCACCTGACTGTGACTTAACTGTGTATAAGGAAGGGAAAATAGTGCAGGGGAAAGAGCCTCAGTTGGGAGACAAAGGACATGGGTGCAGAACCCTGTTCTGCCACATAATATTTTTGTCACCTTAGGCAATTTACCTAACTTCTCTAGAATGGACTAGACTGGACTCTGGACAGTAGAATTACGTGTAATATGAAAGGGTTTGGATTCCTAGCTTTAAATCTAGAATCCCGTGATCTCTCTTCAACACTACCTATTCATAGCATTATGAATTCAGTGTGTATTCTATTTTGCCAAAGAAAATGTGTTGCTTTGTATTATTCTTATGTCATTTTAAGTGAGCATTGCCTAACTAACCAGCTTATCATCTCCTTCTGCTTTTTTTTGCATATCTCAAAGGCACTACAAAAACCAAGCTTTTCTCATAGGAGATGCTCAAATATGGAAACGGGGATGAACAATGGATACAGGAAAGGAATATGGGATCCAATTCATTCCTTGGAGAAACAGTCCAAGTCTGCCTTGTTCTCACAATGTAAGTTTGGCACAGGAAGCCAACAATCTCATCATTAAAATTAAGGAAAAGTGGTAGGTATATACTTATTTGGAATGGGGAATAGCTAAATCATTTAAACTTTAAAAAGTATTTATTTCATCATTAACTTTCTGTTGTGATCTGTGACAGAAAAATTACTGAGTATCATTATTTAAACTGCTATCAAGAGTAAGATGCAGAATGTTGGTCCAAAAATATAAGGAAACTATATGTCCCTTTTCAGTTCAAAAAGTATTTTCTAGGTGCCTACTATGTGCCAGGCACTGTGTCAGGCACTGGGGATTAAAAAGCAAAACCAAAATGGACCTTACCTTCAAGGAGGTTACATTCTTCTAGGAAGGAGGTGAGAATAACATGTAAATAAATGAATAAATACATGGTATTTAAAAAATAAATAAGAAGTAATTTCCAGGCAGTACTACCACCTTGGGAAATCAGGAAAAGATGATTATAGAAGGTGGACAAGCTGAACTTTGAAGGAAGCTAGAGATCCTAAGAGACAAGGTTAAGGAAGGAGAACATTCCAGACAGAATGACAGATGGTACTAAGGTATGGAGGTGAGAGGTGGTCTATTGCAGGGTGTGCCCTTCTAAGTCCTCAAGTATGGCCATATGAGTATATTGAGGTCTATTGTATTCAGGAAAGGCAAGTAGGTCAATGACATTGGCCTTACTGCTGCTTCCCTCCCTTGTTTCCCCCCTCCCTTTTCTTTCCCCCCTCCCTTTTCTTCCCCCTTTTCCCTCCTACTGCCTATAGGGCAAGTTAGGTTTCTATACCTAACTGATTATATTATGCCTTTCTTGAGCCTAATCTGATGAGAGTAAGGTTCAAACAATGCTCTCCCCCTTCCTTCTGCTGTAATAGGATTTTGTGTCTTTTCCTGTAATGTAATTTACCCTTGTCTGCCTCCTCCTTTCTCAGTACCTTTTCTAAGATCAGATTGATCCACTTATTTGGATCCATTTAACCCACTTGATTAGATTTTTTTTATCATTACATCAAAGTCAACTAATATCCACCCTCTTTATGTATACTCCTTTAACGAGGTGTAATAAGAATACAGTTCTCAAGGGTTGCAAGTCTCATATTCCCTTGTAGGGGTTTAAACAGCCCCCCCCCTTATTAACAACATATTGTATCCTTCTGTCCCATTTACCTTTTTAAGTCCTTCTTGAGTCCTGTACTTGAAGATCAAATTTTTTGTTGAGCTCTGGTCTTTTTATCAGGAAAGTTTGGAAGTCTCCTATTTCTTTGAATATCCACCTCCTTCCTTGAAAAATGATGCTCATTTTTGCTAGGTAATTGATCCTTGGCTGCATTCCAAGCTCCTTTGCCGTACAGAATATCATATTCCATGCCCTGTGGTCTTTTAATGTAGAAGCTGCAAGGTTCTGTGTAATCCTGACTGTGGTTCCCTGATATTTAAATTATTTCTTTCTGGCTGCTTGCAGCACCTTCTGTTTCATCTGGTAATTTTGGAATTTTGCTATTATATTTCTTGGCGCTGTCAATTTGAGATCTCTTTCAGGTGGTGATCGGTGGATTCTTTCTATGGTTATTTTCCCTTCTGGTTCTAGGACTTCTGGGCAGTTTTCCTTTATGACTTCCTGAAAGATATTGTCCAGGCTCTTTTTTTCATCATGATTTTCAGGTAGTCCAATAATTTTTAAATTGTCTCTCCTGAGTCGATTTTCCAGGTCGGTTGTTTTACTGATGAGGTATTTTACATTTCCATCTATTTTTTCATTTTTTTGTTTCTGTTTGACTGATTCTTGCTCTCTCATAGAGACATTAGTTTCCATTTGTCCAATTCTAGTTTTTAACAGATTGTTTTCTTCTGTTAGTTTTTGTACTTCCTTCTTCAGCTGGCCAATTGTGTTTTTTAGGGACTTGTTTTCTTCAGTGTACTCTTCTGTTAGTTTTTGTCCTTCCTTCTTCAATTGGCCAATTGTGTTTTTTAGGGACTTGTTTTCTACAGTGTATTTTTTTTCCAACTGGCCAATTGTATTTTTGAAGGACTCTCTCATTTGACTATTAAAATCCTTCTTGAGCTCTTCTAAGAAGGCTTTTTGGGCTTCAGACCAGTTCATATTCCCTTTTGTTGTTGCAGATGTGGGTTTGTTGACAATGTTGTCCTCTTCAGAATTTCTGTCTTGATCTTCACTCTTCTCATAATATGAATCTATGGTACATTTCTTTTTACTCATGGTGTTTCTTTATTCCCTGGCCTTTAAAGAGATTGAGCTCTCCTGCTGGGGAACAGAGGGTACTGACCCAAGCTTCTTGTGTTGGGAGCCTAGGTCTTGGTCACTGGCTTTGTGTGCTGGGGCCTCTTATGCTGGGAATTGGAGGCTGTAGGTTTCTGGCAGCTTACCTTGTGTTGGGCTGGAATCAGCAAGGCTGGAACTTTCAGGCAATTCTAGGTTGCCTGCTTTTCCTTTCCTTTAGCTTTCTTCTGCTCCTTTTAGATGGGTGCTGCAGGATGTTTATCTGCCTGGGGCCCCCTGCAGTGTTGTCTCCCTCCTTTCTGCTAATGCACTGGGAGATTCCTTTGTGGTGGAGTGCCGAGACTCCTGGTGGTTTTCTGAGCTGGTTTCCACTGGTTCCCCCCCCCCACTGAGGCACTCGGAGGTCCAGGTGTTGGTGTTTGCCTGCTTAATCATCTGGGCTTCAGGATTTCTTCACAATTGGAGGCTTCAGGGCTCCTACAGCTCACCTGGTGTTGGGTTGGAATCAGCAAGGCTGGGGCTTTAGGAAGCCTTTAGGCTGTTTTCTTCACCTCCTTTCAGATAAATGCCACTGGGTACTTGTCCGCTTGGGGCCCCTTGTAGTTCTGCCTCCCTTGTTTTTGCTGAGGCACTGGGAGACCCATTTGCTGGGCTGCTGCACTGCTGCTCCTCGTCTTTCTTCTAGTTCAGCTCTTCCAGGGTTTTTTTTTCTGGGGTGATATTCTCTGGGTTTTCAGAGATTGGTAGGGGAGAGTGAGAGTGACTACCTTTTCACTCCACACATCTTGGCTCCCTGAAGCGGAAGGTCAATGACATTGGAATAAGTGAATAAGCACAATGCAAAATCAGTCTGGAAAGATAGTCGGGAGCTGTCTTGTGAAGAGCTCAAAATACCAAAGAGAGGAGTTGGTATTTTGTCCTGACATAACACAGAGACCCTCAGAACCTCTTGAACAGGGGAGTGACATGGTCAGTCCCATGTGTTAAGGATCGCAATTTGAGTTTAATTTAAAGAAATAGAAGCAGTGAGGGAAAACAATTTTAACATAATGGTAACATTTTATAAATTAACCATCACTGTTAAATTTCAGTCTTTTGACATTTTGAACTATCAAGGAATTGGCCTCATCATTTTCCATTTTTGCCTGCTAGGGGATGAACAATAGGAACTATGCCAGTGACTGATTTTATTTATGAAATGAATTCCCAAATAAGGAAACTGCACCAATGCAAGTCTGTACATTTTCTGTAACTTAATGTCTTTGAGAGCCACCCAGAGCACTGAGAGGGTAAATGATTTTTATTTACCAGGGTTGCACAGCTAGTCCATGTCAACAATGAGACTTCAACCCAAATATTCTTGGTTCCAAGGCCAGCTTTTTGACCACAATGCAACACTGCCTCTCATTTTGCCTTCTAATGTGGCTGAGTTCATTATTTCCTATTTTCAACTTTGATCACACTACTCAGGGAAACTTCTAAATGGTGCTTTCTTCTTGGTCTATTGTCACTGACATTTGGGCTTAAGATTGAGTAAGAGTTAAGGAAAAATCACCACGAAGGTAGTTCACAGAATTATAAGTTATATCTGGAAGGGACCTTGGAGGTGACTTAAATCCAACTCTTACTTTTTACAGATAAAGAAAATGAAGCCCAAAGAAGCAAAATGACTGGCCCAAGTTTACACAGGCAGTGTCAGCCCCAGAATCCAAACTAAGGTCTTCCAACTCCAAATTCAGCATTCTTTCCATTGTACCACACAGACTTCAAACGATATGTCTCAAGCTTTTCCATAATAAAAAAAACCCTACTATTTAATGTTTTTCTATGAATTAAATTCAAGATGTTTTCTTTCCAGTTATGGTCTTCTCTCTCTCTCTCTCTCTCTCTCTCTCTCTCTCTCTCTCTCTCTCTCTGTGTGTGTGTGTGTGTGTGTGTGTGTGTGTGTGTGTGTGTCTGTCTGTCTGTCTGTCTGTCTGTCTGTCTGTTTCTCTTTCTCTCCATAATAAGAAAAAATGTATGGGCCCACAACTGGGAAACATTCAATCAGAACAGCTGAAATACAAGTAAACAAAGTAAGCAAGTAGAGAGATGTCTTGTGCATGAGATTGTGTTTCAGAAAACCTAAGACCTGGCAGTATTGACAAAGAAATTTGTGGAAGTAGAAAAAAATGAGCTCTAATGGACATGGTCTTCAAAGCCACAGTATTACACAAAATTACTGTCATATAAATCAGCAATTCATTAACAAATATATTTCTAGCAGCAACGTTCTATGGAAAAATAAAATATTAATAAAGGATGTCAGTATCTGGTGACACCTTAAGTTGGTAAGGCTTAAAAAAATAATACAACAGATTGGTTAAAAATAAATTCAGCAGATAATCCAATCCTTTATCTACCTGTAGGATTAGAGTCATGAAAGGGGTCTTACAGTGCAATTTGTTTCATCCATTTTAGAGAAATCACACATGGCCTATCCAATAACAAGACACTGTCGTGGTACAGGACAGCAGTGAAAAGCATTTACAGTTGTAACACAAGACATTGAAGGAAAAACCCCTGATGGCAATTTAATGGAGCCATGGCCATTACTTCCACAGACAGCCAAGAAAATTATATTTAGCAAAAATGACAAAATGTAGAGGAAAGATCACAGCAGTCAGCATAATGAGAAGAACTCTGTACTAGGACTAAAAAGACCTAATTGTTGTGATGGTGGTTGTTATTGTTATTATTATTATTATCTTATATTTATACAGCTCTGTAAAGTTTACAAAGTGCTTTATAAATATTATGTCACTCTTAGAAGTAAGTACCATTATTATCCTTATTTTACAGATCAGGAAACTGGGACAGGCAAAGGTTAAGTGACTTGCCCAAGGTCACACAACTAGAACATGTCTGAAGCTGGAGCTGAACTCAGGTCTTCCTGACAGATCCAGCACTCTATACACTTTGTTATTTATGTGGTTAGATAGACCCAACTCTACCATTTACTGATAATGGAAGATTGGATAATTCATTCAGTATCTCTGGCTCTCACTTTATCTTTCAAGTGGGAGTAGTAACATATGTCCATTTTACTTTGCATAAGTGTCGTGAGACTCCAGTTAGATAATGCATCTTAGAGGTGATTGCTACAAAGCAAACCCTATTCAATCACTACATCATTATTCACACCATCATATTTGAAAAATTTTGACTGGAGTTTAAATATTATAATACATCCAAATAGACCATGAGCTCCTTGAGTACAGGAAATATTTCACTTTTGTCTTTGTATCTCCAATGCCTAGTGCATATTACATCATTTATAAATGAATTTCCTTGTAGAGCTACTAAACAGTCAAGCTTGTATTTTAATACCAAATCAACTCTATTTCATCATGTCAAAAAAATGCAATATAAAGAGGGTCCAATATCAACCAAGGGCTCAGCAGAAGACAATATCACCCCTATACCTCTAATGAAAACCAACAGCATTCAGGCATTACTTTCTCATGATGACTTTACCTGAGCAAATGTCTTATTTTTCTGCCAAGCAGAATTTCTATTTGTCTGAATGTGAGAGAATATTTTTGGAACGAGGCTTGATGACATCTGATTTCAACTCCAAGCAAATTTCTATAGCTTCATTAAAACTTGCAGTTTTCACTAGAGGCTAAAATTAGGACTGCATAATGGGAATGCTAATACCACAGTCTGTGTACTAGCACAAGCATTATGACAATGTATTCTCTAAAAGTGGAGAGAAAACAAAAAAGAAACCATTCTAATGACCTGCTCTTTAAGAAGGAAGAACAAATCATGAGGGTACATTGTTCAGGCACTACCACGGTGTTACCACCCATTGGCATTGTCATCTTAAATGATTCAGGAAAGCCATTTTGGGGAAAAACATAAATCTGTAATGATTAAGCATAATTGAAAAATAACCTTGTCGATCAAAAGTTCATCAAATTTTCAAGAAAAATAGCTACATCCATTCTCCTGTGGCTAGAGCAACAATTTATTTACAGGAAGAACTCAACATGCCTTTACGCAGAGAAGATAATAAAAGGGAGGGAAGAGATCAAACTGCCATAGCAATAAACCCAGGAAGAAACAAAACTGCCTGAAAATGTCTTCCCCTCCCAATTGCCTGAAGAGTGACATTGGGCATCTTTTGATGGAGGTAAAAAGAGAAGATAATAAAAGGGAGGGAAGAGATCAAACTGCCATAGCAATAAACCCAGGAAGAAACAAAACTGCCTGAAAATGTCTTCCCCTCCCAATTGCCTGAAGAGTGACATTGGGCATCTTTTGATGGAGGTAAAAAGATTACGTATTTCAGAAGTTAGCTCTATTAAACATTCCCTAAGTGATCAGCAAATCTAATTAGCCCCAAGGTGGTGCCTTAAATGGATGTATAGGCTACCCTGAAGCATGATTGAACAAGACAGGAGACAGATGAGAGAATCCACAGTAAATAGTTCCAGAGCTTCATAAAGGGAACCTAAAATGCCAAATTCTAAAGTTCATGTGGTACTGAGAGAAGTGATAGTGCCAGCAAGCATCAGGGGCCAGTTGAAAGGCATCTTTTTAGGGATCAGAGGAGACAGATCTAAAAAAGTCTCAAGAAGTCTACTACTCCAGCCAGAGGATTAATCATTCAAATTGCTTCTAATACAGTTGAACTCTGAACTTGTCAATCTCTCCTGCTCTGAGCTACAGTCAATCAACCAATATATCAACAAATATTTATTATATACCTACTATGTGCTAAGCACTATACTATCAATCAATAAACAATTATTAAGCACCTGCTATGTGCTAGACAGTGGGCAAAGCACTGGGGATACCAAAAGAGGCAAAAAGACTGTCCCTGCCTGCCCTCAATGAGCTTACAACCTTATGGGAGGTATTGTTCCAGGGGATAAAAGACAAAAATGAAAGCATCCATTCCCTCAAGAAATTGACATTTGTCAACCCCAAACTTCTTTCCTTTTACTTGCACCTATGTGTTCATTCTAATTCGTTTTCCTTTTTCATAACGGACCTCCTAGTTCCTAGAACTGCTATGTTCTGGAGGTTGAGCTCACAGGACTCCACTTCAGAGTCAATACCAAGTTCCCTACAGATCTAACCTGACCAGGATTTGTTTGTTTGTTTGTTTGTTTTGCTTTTTGGTAAGGCAATCAGGGTTAAGTGACTTGCCCAGAGTCACACAGCTAGTGAGTGTTATACTCTGAGGTGGGATTTGAATTCAGGTCCTCTTGACTCTAAGGTCCTTGGGGAACCTGCTCTTTTATCTTAGGCTGGAACTTACCCAACTAGGAGACCTTATTTCTGTTTACACTCTAAACAGAATCCAGTCTAGGTGAGTTCTTGCCCTGAGGAAATGAGCCCCTACCCCAGTACCCTTCCATTAGAATTTAGGGTGACCCAGCTCATAAAGAAGAAAACTAATCAGAGTGGTCTGGATGGAGATGGATTCCCCTTTCCAGATTGCTGGAAATGGCTGAGTCTCATCAGGAGGAACTGAAGACTTCTAGCCCACTTCCTCATTAAATATTCACCAAGCAGGGTTGATTTTCAGTTGTCAATGGAATTACCTTTGAAGTATTATTTAAAACTTTCAGGCTTTCCATGCTTTTTGTCTTTGGTTATTGAGAGAAACCACTGACCATCAATTTCTTGATTATTAACTAGTCTAATTAACATTGATTATTAATTACCATGAAATTCTGTCTCTGAGGGTTTTTCATTTGTCACACGTGCAAAGTCTTATATGAATTAGTAAAGAGAAGTAAGAAGGACCAGGAAAACAATATGCACAGTGATTACAATAATATGAATGAAAACAACAGCAAAACAACTTGAATCTTTTATGTAAGGTTCTGCCCCTTTCAGATTCAAAATTTTTTATTTGGAAAGGGACAAAAACACAGACAATCATAAGAAGGCATGAGAGAAAGTCTTCTCTAAGAAATTAGTACTACAAGGAGAAACACATATAGTTCTGAGATAACTGAGAATAAATGAATGAATAAAGCATTTATTAAGAACTTGTAATGTGCAAAGCACTGTGCTAAGCCCTGAATATGTAAATAGAAATGTAAGACAATCCCTGCTCTCAAAGAACTCACTTTCTATGGGGGAAACAACACTTAGGGAAGGATTCAAGTCGGATGGAAAAGTCCCACGGCCCTTAGGGTGCAGTAGTAAAACCAATGTTAATGCTTCTTTTTTAATGGGATTTCCATTGACAAAATCATATCAGATCTGATGCTGAAAAATGTGACAGTTCCAAGGACATTAGTGGAAAGAATTTTCTTTTGGGAGTCTTCAGTAGCTGTGGCTATAGCATCTGCAGGAGTAGTTGCCAGGCTACATTTCTACAGGTCCCTCCTCCTACTCCCCATGCCCTACTCTCCACCTAGAATGATGGCTGAGAGCGGTGGGTTAAAAGAATTGTTATTGCCAAAGCTCTTGTGTTTAGGGTTCTGGACTTTCTCTATCAGGTTCTGAGGAGAGATAGTGGTCAAAGCAATGGTTTGACCTATCTGGTTCATGTTGCTTCCTGTCTCTCCTTCAGAACCAGTCAATTCAGTCAGTCAATAAATACTTTTTCAGTGTCTATTACATGCCAGGCAATATGCTAACTATTGATATACAAAAAGAGGCAAAAAAAAAATAGCACTTCCTTCAAGGAGCTCACAGTCTAAAGGGGGAAACAACAAGCAAACACATATGAACAAGTATACAATA